ACACAATTTCACTAAACAGATTAATATCAATTTCACAGTATTTGTTATATTGCATAGTATTGTCTTTAATTTGTAATTTTTATTAAAAGAATATATTTTCCCATGTTTATGTTATTATCTAAAATATTTTATGGTGAACTACTGCTTCCACAACTTCAGTGTTCTCAATATCCCTTACACGTAAGAATCATGTCATATGATGTTTTTATCAACTGTTATGTACCTTGGACTGGGGATTTAGCTCAGCAACACAGCGCCTGCCTGGTAATTGCAAGGTCCTACACTGAATTCCCAGTACAAAAAAAGCCCATCAACAACAAAAATGCTATTATGTACCTTATTTATTTTTTGAAAGAATGAGTTCTTGTCTAATTCGAGAATGAAATAAAATTAAAAATAAACCAAGAAGGGGCTGGGGAGATGGCTCAGTAGAATGAGTGCTTGCCTGGCAAACACAAGAGCCTGAGTTCAACCCCCAGTTCTGGAAAAAAAAAAAAAAGAAAGAAAGAAAAAGGAAAAAAAGAAAAGAAACCAATAATAACCTCATGGCCTAGTCAACACTGAATATGTTTTTCCGTAACCCTGCATAGGGCGGAATAAACCATAACTTTATTTTATTAAGGCATGTTAAATGAATCCATACTCTAATATTAATGCTAGTGAAGAAGATCCCCATACAAATCATGAACTTCATATCTGGGTAAATAAAAAAATCCATGGTTATTTTCTGGGGAAGAATATTTAAATTTAATAGGTAACTTCTATGATCAAAGAACTACATGATTTCTCTTGTAAATGTTCTTTTTTTCTTACAACAAATATTCTTACCCACTTTTTTGGAGGGGTACTGAGGATTAAATTCAAAACTTTCACACTGAACTATATCCCCAGGCTTTTTCATCTTTTTGCTTTTTAATTTTGAGACAGTTGTTATGTCTCATTGTCTCCCCAAAGCCTCATGCAGTCTGGATCAGGCTTCTAGAGTTTATGATTGATTCATGGTCTAATTCTGGGATCATACTACTCTCACCCTGGGGTGGGTGGCCTGTGTATAAGAGCGGGCAAGAGGCTTGCTCTCTGCTGCTCCTCCCTTTTTGCTCTTATTATTTTTGCTGTTTTTTTTTTCTTTTCTGTATTTAGGACAGGGTCTATAAGGTTTCACTATGTAGATCAGACTTGTAATGATTCTCCTGTTTTTTTCAGCCTCCTAAGTGATGGGATTATAGGTGTGCACAACCACGTCCAGTCTCAATCGCTGTCTCAGTGTGCTCCTGAGGGATGGGGGGGGTGGAGAGTGGCGGGGGGCCATCACAGCAGGCCAGGGAATCGAACCCCAGCCCAAGCAGGAACATTAATCCACTGAGCTATTTGACTGGCCCTTGTTTTTGCTGTTTTCTGCCTCCATGAACTGTTTCCCTCTGCCATATGCCACTCTGCCTTGGAGGCAGCCAAATAGGGACTGAAACTTCCACAAACTGTGAGCAAAATAAACCTTACCTTCCTTAATTCTGGGCATCAGGTATTTTGTCTCAGCAATGAGAGATAAGTCCTTTTTTTTTTTTTTGAGAGAGATAAGTTCTAAAACAACAGTTAACTTGTGAAAGTCCCTGGGCTGGCCTCCAGCTCAAGATCCTCCTGCCTCAGTATCCTGAGTATCTGGGATTACAGATGTATGCCACTGTGCCAAGTTCTTACCATTTTATAACTAGGAGAATTGGGGGAAAGGTGTGGTTATAGGCTCTCAACATAGAAACCAGACCAGAATCCAGTTATTAAAATTTATGAGCCTTTTATTACCAGTCAGAGACTGCTTGACCATTCTCACACAGGAGAGGACAAGCAGTGAGGAGCCTTAGAAGTACAGAGGTTTTAAAACTAGAAATTGCATCCTGTTTGGCAAACAAATTGGTCATCTAACACAGACAGAACAGCACCTTTAGGGACAGCATGACTATCACTCAACATACATTCTTTTGGGGAGCATTGTTTAGTTCCCATTTAACACACATCTGCATACACATGGTCTTGACTACCCCAGAAATGCTTTTCAGTTGGTTAGCAACACCTTAGTTATTTTTTACAGTTAGAAACACTTCCACCTTTACTTTGATTTATTTTGTAAGTCTATTCTGGGAACTCTCAGTCTATTGATGATTTATCAGCAGTAAAGCAAGCCTCCTTGTGGTCGTACAAGGAAGCAGGGTCACAGAAAGTTGAACAGAGTAATTTTTTACAGTTTTACATTCATCACAGGTGTGACAACTTATAAAAATTCAGAAAGCTGAAATGTATCAGGAGTTGATACTGTTTTTGTCTCTTTAGCACACTTGCCCATGATAGTACATCTTGCCATATCATTTACTAAGCTTAATTTCACTTTATAAGAGCAATGGGCCTTAAAATGGTATGTCATATTTCCCATGATTGATTCTCCTGCCTCAGCTTCTCAAAATATGCGATTATGGGCAAGCACCACCACAGTATTTCAAATGTAGCCCTTTTTATGTTAACATCTAAAATATTTTACTCACAGATTTAAATAGTGTGAAGATGTAGTTTCTAGCATATTTTCAATACTAACATTTTAGGGTTTTTTAAAAAAAATTTTCCCCCTCTCTATTTTTCTATGGTACCAGGGATTGAACTCAGGACCCTGCACTTGCCAGGCAAGCACTTATTCTACTGAGCTATCTCCCTGGGCCCCAATACTGACATTTTAAAATACAGTAAGATTGATCCCTAGTGTACTGTGCCAGCCCCACCTCCAGAGCATGCTGAGACAGTGCTGTGAGTTCCAAGAATTCTTTATTTCAGAAAATTCCGCTCTGAGTTCCTCTATAACTTTCTGCTGTTGCTTATTTACTATCGATGCTATTAATTCATACATTTGAGCTGAGCTAGTGTCCTCTGCACTTGTTCTGGGTGATCATTGGGTTTCCTCTATATGTTTCTGCATTTGATTCTTTACTGCAAATGTTATTAATTCAGGGATTTATTTTTTCATTTCCAATCTGAGTTCCTCTATACCTTTCTGCAGTTGTTTCTTTATTTCAGAAGCCATTGATTCATTGAGTTCAGCTGTGTGATTCCCATTTTGTTCTGTGTTAGTTTCCTCTGCACTTGTTATGGGTGGGCATGGGGTCTGAGATTGCATTTTGCTCCTTCTCATTGTCATTTTGTGTAGCAGTCTTCTGATATTTGTTGTAGAGCTTTGGTGCAGTTATAACCTTAGCACCTACTGAAGTTCAGGTGCAGATCTCCAAAGTTAGGATTTATCCAATGTGCCTGGCTTGGGTCTGGCTGCTATTCTCAGCTCCTTCCTGCTACTGCCCTTGGGAGTGAACCTGTTGTGCCCCTCTGGCAAGATGTTCTGCTCCTGGACTAGCTGGGTGGTTCTGTCCCCTACTGTCTCTGCAGGGATTGCAGTTGCAGGGTTTTACCCCAGACCTGTATGCCAGGCCTGAGCTGAGTCTGGAGGAGACAAGGCAGAGTAGGGGGGAGAGGAAGCTCTCCCACACACTCAGTGGGCCTGGGCTAGGACTGGATCTGGGGGTCCCTAGAACGCGGCAGAAATTCTCACTCGGCAGGCGAGGTGGGGATGCTGCAGAGTGTTGAGGGGGTTCTAAGGGGGTGGAAGAGGGTCTCACCCACACTGCGCCTGGGCTTGGACCGGGAGGTCCTGCCAGGGCAGGGTAGCCGGAAGCTCTCCCACACCTTAACTTAAGATTTCTAAGAAAAAGTTGACAAACTTTTTTTCACTCTGACCCCAAAGCTATCTTGCTAACACAGTAGCCCTTTCCAGACAAGCCACCACAGCTTAGCCTTCTGTCTTTATGTTTGTCATTCTGTCTGTCCTTGCTTCAGATACAGTAGAAATAGAACAAGTCACAGACATTCTAATATCTCTATCACATTTCAATCATAAATAGCTGGCAGACAGCAGGTATCTCTCAATGTATCATATAAAACAGAAAGGATTTCTTCTGGTTTTCAGAGAAAGTTCTCTAGCCTCCTCACCTGAGCACCTGGTCCAGGAAATAGGCATGGCCCACATAAAGCTCCTGGAAGCAGTCCAGCTTATAGAGGTGAATGATGAACTTGGTATAAATTGTGTACTGCTGCTAGGGGCATTAGAGACTTTTAGAGAATCTAAAGGCAGCAAAGCTTTGAAGATTTCTTAGCTGGCTCAGGTAAAGAGCAAACGATGACAGGTTTGTCAGATTCCAAGAGCCAATCACATCCAACTTCCTGGACACAGTTCCTCTTCAGGACAATCCTTAAAATGCAGAAAGAATAAAATGTAGATCACTATCTTCTTGCACAGGTGGACCAAACATCTTCTTTGCTGAGTCCACTCAAAGAGGAAGGTCTGGAATTCATTTAAAAATCTGGTGAGAATATCAAGCCTCTCAGATTGCTTGGGTTACAGGCAAGCACCACTAGGCTCATTTATGATTCTTTAATTCTGTGCCTCTGTTTTCTTTTTGAATATTTCTAAATGTACTTGTTGATACATTGTGTCAACTTGAGAAGTTTAGAAGTTGAAGTGACTCAGCAGGGAGTTAGGATTCTTAGTTTGTAAACATCCTCAACCTGCACAAGAGGAGGACATGGACATTGTGTGAGTTCTACACCCCCAGCCTCAGAGCAGCTTGTTTATAATCTAAGGAGGGGAGAGAGGCTGGGTAGAAGCTGCAGCTGCTGCCCTTCCCTTTGTTCTTCACTGTTTTCTGCTGTCATGAACTGCTGCCCTCAGCCATGTACCACTCTGTCTGGGAGCCAGCCAACTATAGAGTTAAAGCTCCACAAACTGTGAGCTAAATAAACTTTTCCTCCCTTAATTTTGAGTGTGAGATATTTTGTCCCAGCAATGAGTAAAAAGGAACCAAGACACTAAGACCAAGTATTTGTATCCTATGACTAGGCTCCTTGGGGATGATTTCTGTCAACTTTCTTTTCACATAAATTAGCTATATTGTCCTTTTTCATTGCACGTCCTATACATTTTTTGTTGTTATTATTTTGGCTTTATAACTGAGGACTGGTGCTCCCTCTCTGGCACTGTTGCTGCTGACTGCTGAGAAGCAACATATAGTATCCTTTTAGTGATTTTTACAAAGACTATATTTCTGGTCATGTGTGTTCACTGATATCTGTGTTTCATTTTCTCTAGGATCAGTCAGGTCAGTTGATTTCACAAAGATTTCTTCAAATGCCTGGATCCCGTAAGAAGAAAATGTCCTAAGCTGAATGTGGTGGCGCATGCCATCCCAGCATTCTGAGAGGCTGAGGCAACAGGTTTGAAAGTTCGAGCTTACCATGGGCAGATTATTAACATCCTGTCTCCAAAACAAAAGGGCTGGGGATGTATTAGCACATGAGAGAATGAATGAATGAAGAAAAAGAACATGAAGACAGATGCTACCTAGGAATCCTGTTCAGCTCAAACAAAGACTGAACTCTGTGCTGATCCACAGTGAACTGCCACACAGATAAAAACATAATCGTGATTATCGTAGGACAAGTTACACATTGCTTACCCTAGCATTCCAAGCTAGATTAAGACCATAGCTGCCATCCCCAGAGTAGCTTGCTGTGCAGTTGGGCTTAGGGATTGGTAGCTGTTGTTATCATAACAAAATTCAGCAAACTGTAGTCATTTTTCTTCATGAAGCACAGACTACATCCTGTAACTACAGATCATACTCTATAGTTCTGGAATAGTTGCTTTGGACATCTCTTACCAGCTTGGTATGTGCCCAGTGTTGCACGTAGGATAATATTTCCTATATTTTTTTAAACCAGGTCTTCTCATTCTAGTCAAACTTACTTAGATATTTGACAAAATTTCAGACTCCTACAACTTACACCATTTTTGAGTAATGATTTTCATACTCTAACTCTTTTGGATATTTATACTTTCAGATCTATTTTTTATTATCTTCTCCCTCAATTAGTAGCCAATGGCCTAAACAATGAATCTTATATTGCCATTTTTCATATTAATTTAAATCTTGTTTTATTACATTCTAAATGTGCATATATAGGTGGGTTTATTTTCTATTTTTATGTTGTACTAAAGATTTAACCTAAATTTCTCTACCTGGGCAAAGACATTTTATTATTTTCCAGATAAATTTCAAAATCATTAAGTGAAGTTCATAAAATGCAAAACAATAAGATACCTCAGCGGCCAGATACCTCAGCGGATTAAAGTGCCTGTTTAGGCAGACACAGGGTCTGGGATTTGATCCCTGGCTTGTCACGCTGGCCCCACCCCCAGGGCACACTAAGACAGCGATTGAGACTGGGTGTGGTGGTACACACCTGTAATTCCTGCACTTGGGAGGTGAAAACAGGAGGATCACTACGGGTCTGACCTGTGTAGTGAGACCCTGTACTAACTACATATTAAAAAAAAGAGCTGGAACTAAGCCTGGGATTTTAAGTTAATTTATAGTGCCATTTGAAAAGGAGAATATTGCCAACAATAAAAGAAAGACAAAGTGATCGATGACATAGAGTGTACCTAAGGAGAGTCACATGGGGAGAAGACACTCTCTCAGGCTTTCACAGAGAGCACATTGGCCAAGCAATGGCCGTGACTCATCCACATGGCTGCACTGACAAAGGTTCTACAATCTGAGGTACAGGATCTCAGGATAAATCCTGAGGGCATTTCACTGACCTCAGACCAAAAAGCTACAACTCTTGTTGCATAGGTCCTGCTTTACCTTGGTCTTAACCATCCAGTAGAAAAGTATGAAGACGAAATATAGGAAATAAAGCCATGTTCTTAAGTTGAGCTGTGGGGGACTCAGGTCAATAATTTCTGACATTGCCAGTTTTAACTGTTTTAACAGTTTTAACTGTTTACAGAAGACCCAATACTATTATGGGCTACTGGACTCTTTTAGAATATTTTGCTGAGTTTACACACCTATAATATTCAATAAAGGAACTTAGAAAAAATGGGGTATACCGATGAATGTCCATTTTGTATTTGTGTATTCCAAGTGGTTAGGATAGATATATAGTTGCATTCTCTTAATGAATAGAATGATTTGTTCTAATGGTTTTGTAAATAGGATCACAAGTCCGCATCTTGTACAGCAATTAACCACTAAGAAGAATATATGCAGTGTAATATTTGTTGAAACTGTACTTCCGATTTGATTTGAAACTGTCTCATTGCTGTTTATCAATAAAACTTTGAAAAAAAAAGACACTTGCAGTTTATTGCTCGTACAGAAGAGCCTGGATTAAATTTGCTAAATTCTTCACACTGTAACATATACATTACCTTTCCCTGTGAATTTATCAGTCCCGAAACTTTCCTTGAGGCTGACTCTGGTGAGACACTAAGGTTACATCGGCCACGTGTCCATCAAGTCTTGTTCTTAGAAGGTTAGAAAACATCAAAAAATAAGCCCTAGTATTATCATTTCTATAACACTGAAGGTACTAGGGAAGTGTACTTGGACTCATACTGGAACAGTCTCCATTCCCTCAACCAAACCTATTTGAAAATATACTACAGCATATTATGCCCAGTAGGAAGCTCCTGAAGATCTCCATCATGTGGACTGGAGATCCCACTCCTACCAAATCCCACTACCATCACACATAAGATGTCTCTGCTTCTCTATGTAGTAATGGATTATTATTAAAGCCATAGCCCAGTGTGTGACCTATTTCTGATGATGTGTGAGTGCTCAGTAAAGCTTTCACTATACTCCTCATGCCCGCGGTGTATCTTGAGTGTGATTTCTGATGTCTGATGAGATTTTACTTCCTGCTAAAGTCCTATCCACAATTTCTGCAAATATAAGGTGTCTCACTTGAATGTATCCTCTGAGATGTGTCTAATTAGATGTGAATGCCAGCTAGGCCTTGCCTACACGTCCTGAACACATAAGACTTCCCCCGAGTGTGCTGTCTAGTATTTAATAAGAATTAACTGGGGAGATAGCTCAGTGGAATAAGCTCTTCCCTGGCAAGCGCAAGGGCCTGAGTTCAATCCCCAGTTCTGAAAAAAAAAAGAATTAATTTATAGCACATTGGTCAGGGTTTGATCCCCAGCATGCCTTGCTGGCCCTGCCCCCAAGGCACACTAAGACAGCTATTGAGACTGGGCCTGGTGGCTCATGCCTATATTCCCAGCACTTGGGAGGCTGAAAACAGAAGAATCACTATGAGTCTGATTTACCTAGTGGGACACTGTAGACACTGTAGACACTGTAGACCCTGTACTAAATTTTTAAAAAAGAGTTAATTTATCACAGAAGTCTTGCCCACACTCCCTGTACATAAAAGACATTTTTCCTGAGTGTGCCCTCCCTCTGATATGAGATAAGGGTCAGTTTATCATTAAAACCATGCCATACTCTTTTGCATACAAATGGCTTTTCCCTAATATGAGTTGATTTCCAGGTAGAGCTTCCCTCATACTCTATGCACACAAAAGGCTTCTTCCCTTATGTGACTTCTGGTGTTTGTTGAGGTTTAACTTCAGGCTAAAGCAATGCCCATATTCCAGGCACATGTAAGGTTTAGCTCCTGAGTGAATCTTCTGGTGTGTCTTGAGAATTGATTTTCAGCAGAAATGATGCCCATATCCTGTGCATACATAAGATTTTTCTCTAGCATGTGTCCTTACATCCCTGATTAGGTGTGACTGCTGGCTAAAGCTTTGTTCACACACTTTGTAAACATAGGCTTCTCTCCTGAATGTGTCCTTTATGTCCGATGAGGTATGAATGATGCTGTGGTAGATTAACTATTGGTTAACTTGTAACACACAATTGAACTGAATCAGCATGGTGCTGAGTGTGGAAGGCCCACCCTGGGGACAGTTGCCAACATCATGAAAAAGAGAACTAGAGGGGAAGATAGTGTGGTGTTGATTCTCCTAGAAAAGCTTGTTATGTTGGCTTTCCTGATATGAACTCAGCTGTTCTCATTTATAGCAGTGCAGGGGACATCACTGTCACTGAGATGGTTGTGGTTTTCTTTGGGGGACCTCTAGTCTTTACTTTGAGAGTCACTTCCGGGCACCAGCACAGATCCCTCAACCTGTAGGAACAGGTACTTCATCCTTCTGGCAAAGACTTTCTAGCTT